CTATAGATTACACCAACAAAATGTGATGTAATCATACTAGGGAACTGGCACTTTGTCACAAAGACACAAAGAGCAGGGAAAGACTTGCCAAAACCAGTGAAGAGACTCATTGTGAGGTTGATGTCTCTTTACAGGGAGTCTTCAGGTGGTTCTCGTTCTGAAAGCAAGATAGCGAAGGAAAAAAAACAGGAGAAATGGTTAAGTGATGCTCCATCACATACACATACAAAATACAGTAATAATGTATAGATTTACTGAGATATATATAATATAATATAGTGGTATATAATACCTTTTTTGGAAATGTAGCCTTACATGATTCTGAAATGAAAACTGCTCGCCTATTTCAAACTTTTCATTCTCACTTAGGTATGCAAATCAAGTATTCAGGTATAGCAACCTGCCCCAATTCACCAGTCCTAATCCAATCAGCATAATTATTCAAAGACTGGGGCAGGGACAGCCTCAGTAATCAGTCTCAGTAATCAGGCTCGTTTGACTTACAATAAAGAGAACAGAAATTGGCAGGAACCTCTTGCTACAAACTTTGTTTAAAAGAATCGTTAATCTGATGTCATCATCTTTACCATAAATGTTGAATAAAATGTATTTCATCATAGTTTTTCATGTAATGGTGTGTCAGGACGTAGCATCAGCAGATCTAACAGATTCCTAAATTTGCAATCCCACAGCATTAAGGTAAGTAATTGATGACAACATTTTCATTTAGAGGGGAAAAAAATCCTTTTTTTATTTTATTATCTTTAACATTCAAATTTAACATTTAAATTCAGTTTAAAAACTTGAAACTTATAGTTAAAAGGTTAGTTCACCCAAAAATGAAAATTAGCCCACAAATTACTCACCCTCAAGTCATTCTGAGTCTATATGACTTTCTTCTTTCAGATGAATCCAGTCGGAGTTATATTAAAAATGGTCTTTGATCTTTCAAGCTGTTTAACCCTTAATTGGTCCCTGGGGTCCAGCTGACCCCATTTGAATTTTCCTTTATTTTTTAAAAGTGTTCCCTTCATTCCATGGGCATGAAATTCTGTGACTTTTCCTAAATAATCTATCTAAACACACACAAAAAATCGGGACTTGATTTGGTTGTTCTAAAGGTGTGTAAAAAAAAAATCACTGTTAAAGGTCCTTGGGGTCTGATTAACCCCACATTGAAAATGAATGGGAAAATGTAAAAAAAAAAAAAAATTTCATTTCATTTGTCTAAATAAATAAATCCAGTATAAATCTGAAAATTTCTACATTTAAATAAAGGTCTGGTCCTAGACCATAAACACAAAGTGGAACGAACTTTCTATCTCATATACACACACACACACACAAACACATACATGTGTGTGACTGCAACAGAGAGCATTTTATAGAAAGCAAATAAAATCAGACATAAATGCACAACAGTGTGACGGGGTAGACATAACACACCACACACACACGCGCACACACAGAAAGAGGGGGAAAAGGGCAGATAAAAGAAAGATGAAAGGCAGCTAACCTTTTGCACTCTGAGAAAGTTTACTGTTTGATGAAAGAGCTGCAGCAGTATTTTGAAAACATCTCACAGTTAGGGTATAAAAGTGGCTGTCTGGGTCCTGCACTGAGCTCATTCTGTGGCAGCACCATGGCCAAAAGGTACAGTCTTGAGGAGACCCTGGATCTCATACTGGATCAAAGTGACAGTGAAGAAGGCCCAGAGAACACTGAACCAGATAGTCCTGAGGACTTTACTACTGACACAGAAGATGAAACTGAGTTTGAACAGGATTACCAGGAATCTGAAGAGGAGGATTATGCAGTGTTTATTTGTGATAAATAATTTTCTGAAATAAATAGTATGTGATTACAGTCTTTTAGTGGTGACTTGTAACATTTCTGCAAATTTATAACAATTTGCAAAAGCAAACAATTCAAAATATATCAGACAACGACAACAAAAATAAATACAAAAATATATTTTTTATGTATTTTAGGATGTTTAAATATATATTCACAAAATATGTATCATAAAGTTGTGAGGAGAAGTTGAAACCTGAAGAAAAATGGACTTGAAACTGAACTGAAAATGAATGAGTCCCTGTGGACCTCTGCTGGATATATGTGGTCATTGCACTTTCTTTCTTTAACTATAATACCTAAAGATTTTCCTCTAACCCCAAGATGGCAGTATTCTATCCCTAACACATGGGCCAATATCCAGAAACCTTTTATATTTAATTTAGGTCATAATTTAAGGATTTTTTCATAAAAAAATATTTTTTTATAAGCCAATTTATGGCATAGTTGAGTATTTGTGCAGTAAATAGGTAAAAAACTACCAAATATCCACAAAAACACAGCATAAATGTATAGATGAGAAGTAAATAAAAAAATGATATATAGTTTGTCATATAAAAAAATTATATTTCCTTATGCAATCGCTCTGTAAAAGTTTGGGGTCTATCTGACCCCAAGGGACTTTAACGTCGCTCTAATCAAGGGACGATTAAAGGTTAAGAAGTGATTTTACCCTCTCCTTGCTGAT